CAGTGTTTTTTTAACACAGATATTATAAACAAAAAGGTTAATAAACACCCACACAGACCTACTCTTAAGCAAAGTTTTGGATTTTAGAATTGATTTAATATGACAAACAAAATTGCAGCACACAGTAAATAATGTTATAAAGCTGAGTTCATGCATATAAGGAAACACTGGTTGACAAACTACAAATAATATGGACATTAGAAATGCATACACGCACATCTAGAGGTAAAGTCCGTAACAGTGATGAATGCTCCCATAAATCAAACACGTTAAGTCATTCAGACAGCATGTTGTGCCTCGGAATAAGAAACGACTGTTAGCAGGCGTCTTTGGCTCACTAATAAATGACAAAAGATGCTTAATGATTTGAAATTTCTGTTAATTTTAAATAGGTCATTATTAGTTTTAAATGTCTGTATTTTGCACCAATCATTTAAGAGCTGCAAAAAACGTAAAGCCTAACATAACTTTATGTTTAAACTGATGCTCTGGAAGCCTGTAAATGAATTGATTTGCATCTTTAGTTAGTATGACAATTATCAGTTTGTAATGATGTTCTGTAATGACCACAATGTGACACCAAGACCCCCTTTACAAGTAATCTGGTGAAAGCCTGTAACACAGTGATTATTCATGTATTTGGTGCCATCTAGTGGTATGAAGGCTGATTCCTTTAACAGTCAGTGGAATGTAGTTCATGAATTGCTTGCCAGCATTGACTTTAATGCCTTTAACAGTGTTTAGCGGTGTTCATTTTGCAGCAATGTCTGCTTGGGAAATGTGTTGTCTACATTCAGAATCTAACACTTCATCTCATGAAGCCTCTTGGCAAAGTCTCCTTCACATTATGACAGTGTTCGCTATATTTTATAGTAATGACTGCCAAAAGCTCACATTGTGGATAACTTACCAAAAACTACAACGATTTTTGATTTATAAAGAAGACAAAACAAGAATTTAAATTCACGTCTCAGATGTTTATTCATTTATTTCTACAGATTTAGAATTGTGGGAAATGTGAAGGAAGATTCAGTGTCTGACCTGCAATACAACAATCTGTGGGATCAGAGTTTGCTAAATCAGATCTAGGGTAAAAATAAAATAAAATAAAATAAAATAAAATAAAATAAAATAAAATAAACACCCAGATAGTAGTCCTGCAGCTGGATTTTGGATCTGGGGGTATTTTGAATCAGGCGACATGAATTGGGTGCTATAATGGATCAGTTTGCTTGTTCAGGGYACGAATAGAAAGAAAAAATCCATCCCACTCTTAGAAAAAGTGAAATATGAAAAGGATTAGTTTCCAGAATGCCATTATCATCTTGGCAAACAAGTACAAGTCATGTTTTCCTCTATTAGGCCACTCAGAACTTTCAGTGGAAAAAAAGCTACATTACCATGCGAGCATGGCTTATCTTCACCTTTGAAATGCAACAAATTATGAATGGAATTTCCTGGAAACACACACACACTCTTTCCATTGGTGTGTYGGACATATCATGTGATAACAGGTTCTAGACAAACCCTGGCTTGGAGAGCCATTGTGATGTTGCCAGTCATGCGGTTCCACACCCACACAGCCTGACTGTGTCATGTTTAGCAACCATTTTCCTTTCTATGTAGTAATAGTTAACACTGTTCAATCCACTTCCTTATACATAACCGATGCAGAGCTTTATGGTTTTGCACAGTTTATGATAGAAAACAGTTCAGTGGAATATGATCTCTTAAACATTGGTAAATATATTACAGGAAAACATAGGAACTGTCAAAAGAGGTAAACAAAACTCATTTTATTAGAATGACAGGAAAACAGAAGTCAGATGAAGAAAAAAACAACAACGAAAGTTTAAAGTAAATAAYGAAATTATTTATTATCTGATTTCCATGGTCTCCAAAAAAAATCAACAAAGAAATCTACATTAACTATCATATTATATTTATTCAACCTAAAGTGTTGTTTGTCGGGGTTGTCATGTCAGATTTAATATCCTAGTTGTTTGTGTTTTATACATCCTAATAAGCCAATGTTGTATTTGTATTATTGGTTTTGAGCACAGATGCTTTTAGGTTTATTCCTCTAAAAACATTCCATTGTTCACCTCTCCCAGAGTCACAAAAAAAAAAAAAAACAACCAACCAACCAACCAACCAACCAACCAACCAACCAACCAACCAACCAACCAACCAACCAACCAACCAACNCCAACCAACCAACCAACCAACCAACCAACCAACCAACCAGCATGAAAACACATCAGATTTATTTAATTTAGCTTCCATTTTGCCTATGACACATTACCTAAAATGATTTTAAATGTCCAAGATGTTTGAAGAACAAACATTGCAACAAATTTGTGATGGCAGAGTTTAAGATGAAACTCTTCATTTCAGAAGCAGAAACATAACTGCAGTCAYTTATTTCAACAACAACTTTCCTTGGGTGATTTTAAATCTTTATACAATCTAACTGGATTTCACACAACAAATTAAATTCACTGGGGATGTGCTTTTTTTTTTTTAAAGAGAGAACAAAACAGTTCCTACCAGGTGAATTGGGGAMAATTAAAATTCCCTTGATCACAGAAAGTTTATTGGTCTAGAGATAAGATAGGAATGTTTAGAATATATTCCTATACAAGTTTCACCAAACCCACCAGTAAAGTTGTTATTTGAACATCAGGTGAGAGGATAATATTTAATGATGAGCATTCATAAGAAAACACTCATATATTTAAAACTTAATGATTTAAACGGTGGCACTTTGATGGACTTGCTACCTGTCCAGGGTGTACACGCCCCTTGAACAGTGACTGCTGGATATGGACACCAGTGACTAGCATGACTCTGAAAGGAATAAATGGGTAAAAAGATAATGATTTAAAGCAAACCAATTTATTTACCACAAAATGCCAGTCAGTAAAGTCAGTGTGTCAGTTTATGAAAGAGCATCAAAATGATGTTTGCTCTGTGTGGTACAAATCCCTGTCCCTATCATCAAGGCCAACTGAACAATGTCAGCAAAGCAATCTGTTGGTGAGAGGACTGACTGGGTTCCCATTATAGGAACTGAGCACCATCAGAATTCAAAAAAGCAGAACATAAACAAAGGAAGTTCAACACATTTCCGTTTGCAGAAGAGTTAATCAGACAATCAGAGAGTCAACCGGACGTTTTAGCTACAACAAACTTTTTTTTTCCAAATACAAATGATGGGACTAACAGTAAAATGTTTAATGGTTACCAGCACTTGAGGGGTCAGTGGGAATGAAGCAGCAGACAGAACATTAAAAACAGCAACAAAGGATCAAATCAGCTTTATGTCCATCAGTAAATCACAATAGCTGTGAAATGAAAACTGAAGGAACAATGGAAAACAAAGGGAAGAAGACAACAAAGGAAGCTGATTTTACAGAATTCAGTGACAAGTGGGAGAAATGAGAACAGGAGGGAGATTCTTTGTAAAACATGGATTAACTGCCCATTATACATAAAAAAACATAGGTCAATGTGAGTACTGTGGGCAAGAGGAAAATATAGAACATTTATGTCAGAAATATTAACAACACCAAAGAAGGTTGTTTGCCATTTGCCATAAAACACTACAAGGGTATTAATAATTTGAAAAAAAAAAAAAACTGCTGACCCTACTAAACAGGGGAGAGTCTTCATARAAGTGAAGCTAAAACCCAACAGCCACCATCCTCTTCAACAGATGGGACAAAGAATACTGAGTGGTAGATGGGGAAAGTTCATGTGGGAAAAATGTCACTTTAACACTTAAATCACAGAACCTGTAATGTACCAAAAAAAAAAAAATCAAAATTCACTTATATTATACGTAGGCAGTTGTTCTCATGGTTTACAGTTTGACCTTATTTTGCAKCACAGCTCTTCAGTTTATCTTTGAGCAACCAAATATCCATCCACATCTTTCCAAAGCAAAACTTCTGAATCTTAGCCACACAGAAGCTTTATTGTCAGAAAAACGTTGCAGGTGAGTGTGGGGAATTCAATGCCTTGAACAAATATGAACAGTCTTTTTCTTCTGTACAAGTGGATCGGTTTATTTATTTATAAAGGACGTAAAAACAATGGAAGTTTAGCAAGTGCTTTACAAGTAAGACAAATGAAAATGTAAAGTTTCAATAAGAGTAAGGAAACACAAAATATCTTGCATCAAGAAACATTTCATAAAACCCATCAGCTCTAACTGAAACTCAAACTCTTCACAAACAAAAAGATGGATCTTGAGCAAAGATATAAAAGTCTCTATAGTCTCAACACCCAGTATATAAAAAGATAAAGTATTTCACAGTGTTGGAGCARCAGCTGCAAAAGCCTAATCACTTGTTAAAAGACTAACTGATGTGTTATGGACAGTTTGTAAGGGACAAAAAGATGATTTTTCATAAACAACATACAAAGTGTTACAATAATCAAACAAAGAGGTAATAACAGTAAAAATAATTCTTCCAAGGTCTTTAGTGGGGAGCTATGGTTGTAGTTTGTTGGTAGAAAAATCTGACTGAAACATTTTTAATGTGGGCAATGTCCTGGTCTGAAATCAAATCAAGATATACTAATAATAATTAACAGATTTGTGACATTTTTATCTCCTTTCACACAAAAAGGGAAGTTTAAAAACGTAGCAATAGGGAAAAATATTGACATTTTACTTGATAGTGGATGCTTAACATACATAAAGCGTGAACGTGTAAGAATATTTTTGGCACGGTTGGTACTCCATACATTTGGCCAACTATGGACAACAGCTGGAGTATAACGTTTCACAGAGCAGCCTATGCTTTGATATAGCTACCAAAGCATGGCAAGCTTATTTTAACAAATAATTTCCTCTTTTTTTTTCTTTTTTTTTTTTTACCCTTTCACATTTTTTCCCCTCCCATTTAGGAGAAACAACTGTTATAAATAAATGACGTATGTAGGGAGGTCATATAACAACCCCTCTGAGGAATAAGGACACGCCCTTCGTCTGGAGGTCTTTCAGTTTCCTCGACTGGTTCCTCTTTAGCAGTTTGTTGGCTCGTTGTTGTTGTTGTTTTGGCGTCATGTCTTCGACCGTAAAAAAACTACTTGTTACTTATAATGCAATCAATCCGCAGAACACCTTCACCAACGGGGACGTGATCTGCGGCCAGGTGACGCTGGAAGTGGCCAAAGACTGTCAGATGGACTTTTTGTACATTAAATTCAAGGGAAAAGCTGAAGTGAGGTGGACCGAGAGGCACGGCAAMACCACTCATGTGTACCACTCCAAAGACAAATACTTCAGCGTCCGACAGTACTTTATTCGAGGCAAAAACGTCAAGAGTAAGTTTATTATTATCTTACCAATGAACAAGCTCTTATTTTTCCAAGATAACATAAGAAAATGTTGTAAGTTTTGCACAAGTAGGCCTAGGTAAGAGTTTGCCTTAATAGTTTTGAGGAACAAAATAATAATAATAATAATAATAATAATAAAATAAATAAAAAACTCTTTCATATTGACAATTTTTTTGTTCTCTGCAGATGACAAATCAAATCTGCTGACCAACCAGAATTCAGAAACATGTAAGTATTTTATTCGGTTCATTTGTGCGTTCTTCCGAACAAAACATCTCTATTGTGTTGTTTCTCTCAGCTGTCATATTTATTCAATCTTATGTCTTGGGAGTAAGCTTCAGTCAAAACGGAGTCCCACTGCTTGTCAAAGTCCTGCTAATGTTCCTTTCTCCTCCAAGAGTTTAGGAAAAAAGTAAGCTTATTTAGTTTTATGCTGGTTCCAGGTTTTGGAGATGGGCATCTCCGATTCAAACTGAAAAGGGAAATGTTGCAGTGTGTTTTTTTTTTGTTTCACAAGTTGCTTTAGGTATGTGGAGTCTGAATGAAACATCTGCACTGCATTTGGAAGAACTAAACAAAACAGGATTATCTTATACCATTGCTGCTGGCCTTAGATCTGTTTTGTATTATTTGCAGTGTTATAATGGCTTACACATTCAAACAATGGTAAATGGACTGTACTTGTATAGYGCCTTTCTACCCAACCAGGATACTCAAAGTGCTTCACACTACAATCTGTGCCCCCRTTTACCCATTCACACAGCACTCTACCAGATCTCCTACAAAGCTAAATGCACAATCAACTATGGAGACTAATCAGTGCCAATCACATTCACACACTAAAGGGACACGCGTCAGAGGCATTTGGGTTAAGTATCTTGCCCAAGGACACAACAACTGAGACAGCTGGACGGGGGATCGAACCGGTGACCTTCCAGGACGACTCCCCTAACCACTCTTCCACAGCCACCCCCATAATCAAATCCAGTCTTCACCTTTTTTATTGCCTGCTCTTAGGCAATGCTGTATGACAATATTGTTTTTTTATTTTGTGCCTGTGTCTGTTCTGTCTTAATAGTAAAGTATCTCTAATCAGTGGACGGTTTTCAACAAAACCCATAGGTAATCATTAGGTGAACAGCATTTGGAGTCAAGATGGCAGCTACTGCTAATCAAACTTGGAAAACACAAAAATGGCTAAAATTCAGTCAGTCTTGCAGATGTTGATATAAGATTTATAAGTAAGTATTTAATAAGATTGATATAAGTGCTTTACATTACATAATAAAACCAAAAACACATACTCAGGACAATGAAGAGGCTTGTCTAACGTTAAGTGGCTGTGCATTCCCTAAAAGAGGAGCCCTAACGGTAAAGACTTGATAACCTCTGTCTGTAATCTGGCTCTGAGTACCAAAGGTAGCGACTGATCAGATGATCTCAGCGGTCACAAAGGGGTGTAAGTAGTATGTAACTCAGTAATATAGGATGGTGCAAGTCCATTCAGTGATTTAAAAACCAACAATACAATCTTGAAATCAATCCTGARCATCACAGTGGCTGAGATTTCTTCACAACACGTACTCTGAGGGCTAACAGGTCATGAAAGCTCTTTCAGGATATCGAGGTGTCGTAAAATTCTAGACTAGAGTTGAGGTGGACAATCAAATATCGAGTACTCAAATAAGTTGTTCCCCTGAAATAATATTTCTTTTAGAACAGTTAAATATGTTTGACATGTACAGCTAAGAATAAAATTTAAAAAACATGTTCAGCTTTTTTTTGTTTTGTTTTGTTCTCATTACATGTCCTCTTTGTTTTTTAGATTCCAGTGTCGTGGCTCCAGGAATCCATGTTTATCCGTTCTCCTTTCAGTTTCCTCCCCAGTAAGAACAAACATTTATTTTAGGTTTTCCTGTAACAACACATATTTGTTGCAGCATGTCTAAAAAAAAAGACACCTTTTTGTTTTGCTGCTTAAGTGGTAAATCAATACGAATAAAAATAATAAATGATWATTTTGATATGATCTGAATAGCCGAATGTGGTCATTCTTTATTTTAATTACAATCACAGGTTTTTATTTGATTTTTTATTTCATTTTGAAATTGTCTAGAAATTTTGGGAAGCCTCCGTTTATTTCTTTAAAAAAAATCCTACAGTGCTCACTTTCCCTCTGTGTTTCCTCTTCAGGAATATTCCCTCCTCCTTCAAAGGTGCTGATGGTAAAGTTGTGTATTTGCTGGAGGCCAGGTTGAGCAGATCAATGAGACTGGACAAGACGGAGTCAACGCTGATCAACTTTGTGGCAAAACCAGACCTTGGCCCTCTTTCTGGGTTGATGGTATGTTCCAACAAACATGAAGTTTTTCTTCTTTTTTTTTTCTCATGACTTGGCTTACATAGAATAACTTCTTTTGTTGTGCCTGAGCACTTCTGAAACACACATGAACAATTCATTTTGTTACAGGTATTTTCCAAGTTGATTTGGGTTGCATTTATTGATCTAATTGTATTTCAGACACCTCAACAAGAGTCAAAAGACAAGAAAATGAACGTGTTCACCTCAGGAGCCGTAGCCATGGATGTGAAGCTTGAAAAATCAGGCTTCTTCCAAGGTGAATGACTTCTGAAGTGGTATTGACTGTGACTATAGTTTCATTGCTCGTTTGACATTTTCTTTGTTTGTGTCTTTTGTACCACAGGAGAAGGGTTGAAAGTTTTGTTGTTTGCCAAGAACAATTCATCCCGTGAGATCAAGCCAAAGTACTGCATATACAGAAAGCACTGTTTCTTTGCCCAGGGAAAGAGACGAGTGCATACTAAGGACCTCATTAAAGAGGTGGGGGCACCCATTCCTCCGTCAGCTTCAGAAAAGATCACGCAGATCCTCAACATTCCCCATGACATGGAGCCTTCCATCCTCAACTGCAGCATCATCACATCAGAATACAGACTCAGGGTAAGGAGCTACACTGAAATAAACAAATAATGATAAAAAAAAAACTATATTGAAAGTTGTGATTTTTGTATAATCTTCCTCTGTCAAGATTTACTGTGTTCAGTGAGGAGAATTTCATAAACTATTTATTCAAAGGTCATGTGCAAAACATGAGAGGCACTTTTTGTTTGCTGTTACTTCTTTTGAGGACAGTAAAAAAAAATATAGTATATATTTTTCAGCTGCCATGTTTTGTTTTAAATGCAAAAGCTGTGTTTCTGTCACTTGAGGCTTCCATATAAAAACCATTCCAATGCTTTTCAACAACTCCTCTCATTGTTTATGGTGTTTGTCCATGGCTTTGCACAAGACTTGTGTAAGGTTTCCAGGTCCGGGAAAGGTTAACACAACTTCAGGTTCTAACATAATGGGTGAACAAAAACCACAGTATTTCATTTCAGCATAGGCTAAAATTAGATGTCAAAACAAAATATATCAATTTAAGCTAAGTTAAAGTTGGATTATCTTCAGACATGATTCGTTATTGCAGATGTGTCCAATCTGGTTTTCGAGGGCCACTATACTGCAATGTTTTTCAGCCCTGGTCCTAAGGGCACACAGTCCTGCATGTTTTAGATGTTTCCCTGCTTCAACATAGCTGATTTCTGGTAAGTGATAAGCAGGCTTTTGCTGAAATATCATCTGAATCAGGTGTGTCAAAGCAGGGAAGACATCTAAAACATGCAGGGCAGTGTGCCTTGAGGACCAGGGTTGAAAAACACTGCGTACACCGTATGATTTGATTGTTTCCCTTCTCCAACACATCTGATTCAGAGGTTGAATTATTATGACCCCCGCACTCGAAGCGCAAGCGGGAGTCATATTGTTTTTGTACTGTTTTTAATTTTTTTTCCCAGTGATATTTGGTCAACCGTAGCACAAAAACGGCTGCACCAATCAACATGAAATTTGGCAGGACTGTAGATGAGTCTGACCTACACTGCRCCAGCCAACGGTTTTACGATAGACCCCATATTTGAGGAGGGGGCTCCATCCAAAAAAGGGGGTGTCTGGACATGCAAAAATACTTATAACTCAGACACTGTTAAACATAGAATCTTCAGATTTCTTTTGTTTTTTAGCTCTGATAAAGCTCTATCCATCAGGCCCACCAATCAGTGCCCCCCCTCCCCACCCACCCTCAATTAATCTGAAAAGGGGTATCTGGACATACAAAAATGGTTATTGCTCAAAAACTATTAAACGTAGGAGCTTCAGATTTTTCTTTGGCTGTTTAGCTCTGATGAGGGGCTATCCATCAGGTCAACCAATGCCCCCCCCCCCGGCCCGCAAAAAAAGACCCCACTCAAGCCACTACAATTTTGGGATGCAACTAGTAGCATGACATTTATTAGGAATAAAGACATCTGAGTTCTGGTGCATTTGTGCGTGYGGGGGTCATTATGTTACTGCAATGCGATATCTAGTTTTTTCAAGTTCTATAGATACCTGGTAATCACATGTTCATTCAAATCAGATTGTTGAGGCAGATATACCATTAGAACATGCAGGATAGTGGCCCTCTAGGACCAGGATTGGACACAACTGCGATAATACTTGAACATCAAAATAAATTGGAGTCCAAACACAAAATAAACACAGCATCTATCTGTTTTTAGCGCTTTTGTCAAAGCAACTTTTGTGCATTTTTGTACTTAAAGTTTGAGTTTTTCTACAATGTGTTTATTTAAATAAGCTAATGCACCATTATTTTTGTCTTTTGGGAAAACTGCTAAGCAGCAATAACATTAGTTTTCTGTCCATGTTTGAGACTTGTTAGATATTCTAGGTTTTACAAGACAATACAGTTGTATCCAGTAGCTCAGTGGTTCCCAATCCTGGTCCTCAAGTACCCCTATCCAGCATGTTACTTATTCTTCTTGTGTGGTGTTTTATGGCAGTTGGCAAACAATGGAAGGTGTACATTACCGCCACCTACTGGTATTGAGTGTGGTTCAAGATGATTTCACTAATATTTATATACTACTACTATTATTGTATTTCTTT